CTGCCTTTTTTTTTTTTTTTTTCCCTCCCTTGCTCCAGGTTTTACTTCTGGTTGCCTGTAAGGGTTTTGCTCCTCCCTTCTGAAATCCTATATTAGCTGTGGCCAAAGCCGGGTAAGAAACACAGCTCATTGTTGGCAAGTGCCGATGAGCCTCGCGGAGGAGCGAAAAACAGCCCGGGGTCTGCGGCAGCGAGAGCAGTAACATCCCCCCCACGCCAGCGCGGAGCAAGGAAGCCCTCTCTATGCTGGGGGACTTTTACTGACTAATTCCAGCGACACCTTTGAAGCAAAGGGAAAAAAGAAGCGGGGAGGTGAGTGCGGAGGCTCTGTGGCTGCTGTTTTGTGTCCCTTTTGTGTGCAACAGGGAAATGTGACTGCTTAAATACACGTGTGTGGGGGGAAAGGTAGTCCTCAGCTGTGTGGCTTTCTCTTCTTATTTGTGCAGTGCTATATACATGTATGTGTGTGTGTATATATTAAAAAAAAAAATCTTCGGACTTATTTGCAAAAGTTGCCGGCAAGGGCTAGGTGGGACATGCTTAATTCTTTGCTGGTTCTCTGCAAGTTGCGGGGAGTGTCTTTTAAAAATGTTCCCTCTCCTGGCAAATCCAGGGGGCTCGGGAGCCTTTGGAGCGCGCTGGGGAGGCGGTGGCTGTTGCTGTATGCGACGCTTGCCGCTGATAGGTATGCAGAAGTTGGAGTGGGAAGGCGTGTTGCTCGTTGGATTTGCGGAGGGGACCGAGGTTTTTTTGTACCGCAGACTCGTCTTTATTTTTCCCTTTGTACTCTACGGTACGGTAGAGTCGTGGTAGGAGGTTGGGTTTTTTTTTTTTTTTTTTTTTTTGAGGACGGTGGGACCAGCGAAGCCGCTCCTCGCAGGGACAGATGCATGCAGCAAGTTCCAAAAAGGGAGATTTGGTGCTGGATGCTTTCTATTTTATTTTTTAATATATTCCCATGCTAACTTTCTAGGTGGGAAATGGCAGACCACATGATGGCCATGAATCACGGGCGATTCCCTGACGGATCCAGCGGGCTCCACCACCACCCTGCCCATCGGATGGGGAGGGGTGCCTTCACTACCCCCCACCACCATCACCCGCAGCACCAGCA